TTCCTCTTGTGTAAAGTGGGAATAATAATGACTTAGAGGTCTAAATAAAATCAAGTTTAAGAAGCACTTCACACAATAGTAGCCAGTAAATCCATATCAGCTGGAGTCATTATAATCCTACTGCGTGCCATGAGTGGAGCGGTTTCTTTCCTTTTGCTTTTGAACATGCTCCTCTCCTCCAGTTGGCAATTCCTCCCTCGACTCCAACACTTCTGGGCTACCCTTCCTTCCCCACCCAAGTGACTTTTGACATTTTTTTTTTTGGGTTTTGAGATTCCATTTACTGAAGAACAATTAACCTCATTTTGTAGACAAAAGAACCGAGTCTTAGAGATGGGACGTAACATTGTTAAGTAGCTCACAGTGCCAGCACTGTTACTCGAGCCCAGTGACAGGCAGTACGCTCAGCCACTGCCTTTACCAGGGATGACAGACTTCACTAGGGTTACAGAAAAGGACAACGCATGCCTTGATGGGAACATGCAGAGGGAGCCAGTCTCATGCATGGTATCAGAAGGCTTTCCCAGGAGTTGGCCGGGCTGCCAGGGATCCTGGCTTTGCACAGTGATGTGCCAGGGCTGGAGGGCCTTCAGGGATCATCTAGGCCAAGAGTTTCCCAATGAGAGTCTGAGAGACGCTTGTAGGAGCCTGGCACGTCAGAGTTTTTCCAATTCCAGTAACTATGTGTTCATTATAATAAATTATGAACCCCAAAGGTTACACTTTTACTTTTATGGGGTGATAGATAAATACCGGCAATAAATACCTACAAAAAGCAGTATTAGGTCACAAACGGCAGCTGTGGTGCTTATATTTGGCAAATTATGATCCTAGAAATCCCATACCTGAAGCTTGGGAAATTCTGATTTTGTATAACTTTGTTATTTTAAGGAAGAGAAACAGACATTCAGAGAGGCTCCATGACTTGCTCAATGCTACAGAATAAATTAGTGGCTGAATTTGTAATATAAAAATGTATTTCATTTCCCCCCCAAATCCTAAGATAAGGGGAAAAGTGACACATTAAGTTTGAGTTTCAGGAGGCATTTGATGAATGACTTGCAGTTCTGCCAGCTGCCTGATCCTCTGATTAGGATCTTTCTGATGTTTTCCTGTTCTTTCAAATTAATTTCTCTTTCCAGTCTTTATCTGTCTCCCAGTTCCCCTGCCATGGGGAGAGACTCAGCTTTGGGGAGACAGTTTGTGGCTGATGTCTTTTTGCTCTGCTGGCCCCTCAATCAGGACGTCAGCGCCCTTACCTGCTGGTGAGGACAACAGACCCTGGACTCTGAGTCTCATAGGCTCTGCTGTGCCTCCAACTTGTAGTGTAGACATGAGGAACCCCCTCTCCCTGGGTTGCCTCCCTTGCAGGGCTATGATAAAGAGAGAATGAGACTGGGTATTTCAGAAGCTGAAAGCAGTGCCGTCAAAGGTGTTGTGATCAGTTCAGTGCCCTCCTGTTCAGCAGCGTGAGTGCAGGAGCTGTGGCTGTGAACCATCTGCACTGACCCCGGAGCTCTGCCAGGGCTGACCCTGCTCTGACTTGAGCCCAGAAACTTCTTATATTCACTCATCAGCTTGGCCGGCTCTTTCTTTGAGCCACTGCCACTCAGAAAATACTATACCATGTGGGATTGTATTTAGATTTTTACCATAAGCCTCAGAATAATGATTATCATTGCTCTTTTAGTACATAGGAAACTAAAGTTTAGACCATGAAAGAGATCTGCCCTAGGTTATCCAGCTGGTGGGTGGTAATGCTGAGATCCTGCCTTTTAGACGGGTGCTCTTCTGCAGCTACCTGCAAGGTCACCAGCCATCCTCCTCAGACTGAGAGTGCACTCCTCCTTCATTCCTGCATTTGTCATGCAAATGTCCTGAGGTCTTCAATTTGTGCTCCAGAAAACAGTGGAGGGAGAAGAGAAATGGTGACACATGCCTATAAGCCCAGCTACTTTAGAGGATGAGGTGAGAAGATCACTTGAACCCAGGAGTTTGAGGCTGCAGTGAGCTGTGTTTGCACTACTGTACTCTAATCTGGGCAACACCAAGACTCTGTCCAAAAAAAAAAAAAAAAAAAAAGAACATAGATCTTCTAACTGTATTAGAAAAATCAGCTCTTTTCATGCAAGGGGACCTGTTTGACAGTTGTAGACAATATTGTAGGCCGTATTTTTCATTAGAAGGTGGATTTCTAGAAGAATTCAGGTGATATACATTCTTTGCCTTTAATATAGAAATTCCTTTTATCTACTCATCCATTTACAATTATTATTATGAATACATATTTGTAGTAGTCAAACTTCTGACAACAGAACCAGCAGGATGTATATCTACAGACTACAGATATCTCTATCTGTCTCTATCTTTATCTCTATCTATATATACTCAGAGAGAGATTTTAGGGAATTTGGTCACTTGATTATGGAGTTGGCAAACCCAAAATCTTGAAGGTAAACGGGCATGCTAGAGATCCACGAAGAGCTGATATTGCAGTGGAATCTGAAGGTGGTCTGCTGGCAGAATTCCCTCTTTCTTGGGAGACCTCATCCTTAGGTCCTTAGCTGATTAGATGAGGCCCTTCTATAAGACTAAAGGCAATTTGCTTCACTCAAAAGAGTCTACAGATTTAAATGTTGGTCTCATCTAAAGAATCCTTTCACTGCAACATCCAGATATGTTCGACCAAATATCTGAGAGCTGTGGCCTAGACAAGCTGGCACCTAGATTAACCATCACAATGTATAAATATATAATATGTAGAATAACACAAACTAATCTTTACTAAATACTTATTATCAGCAAGGAACCATTATTTCATTGAATAATTCCCAATTACTATTACTAGAATACAGTACCTGATACATAAATAGAAATAAATTCTGGTTTCAAGTTTAGAAGGTAATTCAGAGTAGAGGGAAGGAAGGGGGTTGGCATCAGGAAGACTTGAGTTCAAGTTCTAACTGCCAATGTCTAACTTGAGCAAGTTACTTAGTCCCTCTAAATCTCTTTTTCCTCCTCTGTGAAACAGTTAAAAATAGTACTCACTTCATCAACACAGCATGTGCTTGATAAATATTTATTGACCAAATGAATGTTGAGGGAATCTCCAGAGTTGTTAATAGAATTAAAGGAGATAATTTATGTAAAGCTCCACAAGGTGCCAGGCATGTGATGAGAATACGGCGAATGGAGCTGCCTTTATATGATGATGATTTTTCCTCCTGACATCTGCGAACACAGAGTCACGGCTGGCTGCTGTTGGGAGTCACCTAACAAGGGCTCAGGAAGAGGCGTGGCTTTGTGGGAGGTCTTGCTTCTAAAGACCAGGACTGAACAGAAATCTCCTTGGCCTGAGTCAGGGGCTGTTTTTTTCTTACTTCCTTGGCATCCCTCTCAGGGCAGCCAGTTCTCACTGCTCCCAGAACTCCTTTCTTGGAGCTCTGGCTGTGACTGGGCTTGGCAGGGAGCGGTCTCTGAAGAACCAGGTAATGTGGTCTGGAGCCTGGTGAGTTTCCTACATCTCTGCCAGCACACTCTGCTCCTCTTTTGCAACTCTGCCATCAGCCCTGCTTCACAAAGCTCAATTTACTGCCTCTCTATAGAAAATAGCTGCCTCTTCCTCCCAAGGGATATGACCTACCTGTAGGGACTCTATCAGTTAGGCTAATCCCTCCCATTTATTCTGAAACAACTTACACTATTTATGGAATTAATTCATTATGAAGACATCAGGATACTATAAACCAGCTTTGTATTAATAATTTATTCATCACTCAGTAAATATTATGGTTTTCTAATGGGTGGAATGCAAGCTCTGACACTTACTGGCTGTGATCTTGGTCAAATTTCTATCTTTCTTATTCCTAAATTTCTTTATCTGTAAAATAAGAATAATACTAATGCCTTCTTAAAAGGGTTATGAGGATATTTGAGTGAATTAGTATATATAAAGCACATAAAAACATATTAGCACATAGTAAGTGCTCAATAAATAGTAGCAATTCTTACTTTCCACAGCCTTTATTATAGATTGCAATACGTGTTCTGTAAAAGCCAACAGGATGCTTTGCACAGACACATACAGTAGATCAGGGCAACAAGTTAGAAGTGCGGGTAAGGGAGAGGCTCATCGAGCTGGTAATATTTAAGTTGAACACTGAAGAATGAGAAAGAGAGGGAAAAAAGAAATACCAAGGAAGAGTATGTATGAAAACTTTGAGGCCTTAAGGAACTTGGGATATTCATGAGATAAAAAAGACTCATATGGCTGTAGCAAAGGGAAGGAAACAGTAGCAGTAGCTAACACTTACAAAGTCAGTACTCACTGTATGTCCAATGCTGTCTGGGTGGTTCATTCATGTTTACTTACCCAATCTTCATGACAACTGTAGGAAGAGGCACTATCATAGCCTAGACTGGGTCATGTCATGACAATTCACCCTTTATACCTTCTTGCTGCCCATAGAATTAAGCGCAAACTCTTATCTTGGCACATCAGATACCTCGAAATGTAGTTCCAACATAACTTTCCCATTCTATTTCCTTTTTTCTTTTCTTTCTTTTTTTTTTTTTTTTGCTGTCTGCCTTGAAATTGATTTTTTACTTACACAAGTAATACGTAAATATACTATCCTTATAAAACCTTTAAACAATATGGTAAATTTAAGGTTCTCTTCCACTTCTATTTCAGGTACCTCACAAAGGAAATAATGCAATTAGTTTGCCATGCATCCTTCCAGATATTTCTATAAATGCATCGATTCATATATAAATCTAAAGACTATATAAAACTGTAGAAAACATATGCAATTGTTTTACTTTTAAAGAATAGACATTAATCAAACAGTTCAGGATATATTGTTCGGCAACTTCCTTTTTTCCATCAGTACATATTCCATGTTGCAGATTTATGTTAATTTTAAACATTGCTGCAGAATATCCTTTAGTGTTTCTCAAATGGTAAACATCTGAGATAGTTCTAACTTTTTGCTATTACCAATAATGCTGAAACAAACACTGTTATATGTTAGGATCTAATCAGGAAAACAGAAAACCTCCTTAGGCACTTCAAACAGAGGGGATTTAATGCAGGGAATTGGTCACCAAGGGGATAAGAGGCTTGAGAAGCCAAGTAGGAAGGTGAGGCTATTTAGAGATGAGGAACAACAGGAAGATGTGACCATCCTACAGCTGGAGGGCACTCCTAGGAGGAAGTGGTGTTGGCAGAGCATAGAAGTCAGAGCAGGCCCTGTGGTGGGAGCTAGGACTGTGAAAGATGCCTTGGGAGAGAAGGGAAGAAACACCTTAATTTCTCTTTTTCTCCCTCTAGTTTTTCACTACTGCCTCCCATTGGCCAAATCTGCCCAGAAGCCAGAGGGCAAGAAATCCTGGGAATATAGTTCCCAGCAATGAACAGAGAAGGGAGTGCATTTGACAGGAATGTGGCAACAAATAGCTTTATGAATACATCTTGGTACAATTGTTTGTGTTTTTCTAGCACAGACAATGCCAGCAGTGAGATTACTGAATCACAGGATCATATACCTTGTAATATTAGTACATGCTGCCAAATTGCTCTTTAAAGTGGTTGTACAAATGTACATTCCCACAGCATTTAATGGGTGTACCCATTTTCCAACCTTTGCCAGCACTCAATATTAACAAATGTGTTCATTTTTGCTAATATGATTGGCATCTACACTTATCTCACCCTCCACCCAGCCAGTCATCCAGACAGGTCAAGGCTCTGGGGGCGCTCACATTACTCTATTCCAGTTCTAGGAAAGAGTCAAACAGGGCTTTAGAAACTTTTTTCAAAAACCCAACTCTAGGGGCTCTGGAGGTCTCACCAGTTCCTTTTGTCTCAGCCTATCTTTGTCCCCAAAGGATTTATGAATTAGAAGATCTCCGTTTATTTTCATAATGGCCCAGGGCCTTGGAGAAGGTGAGGACTGGGGATCCTTGGCACACTTCAAGACTTCAGCACGTTCTCTGAAGTCTTCATTGTGATGTGGCATCTCAAATCTCTTGAAGCTGGTCACAGTAGTTTTTCACTGGCCACCAGAGAGTGGACAGCATAAGGAGGAGAGGGTGGAGGCAGGTATAAGGAGAGGAGGAGGGTGGTGAGTGTATCGAGGAATTACCAGCCAAAAGATGTGGGCTCTGCTCCAGTGTCTGCCATGAAGTAATCCTTGAGAACCTCTTACTTTGGGTTATATGTGCCCTTTAGAGGCATAGATGAGACCTACAACTCCTACTGCCAAACTTGGAAGAGCCCTCTGGCATCATCTGGTGCAGACCTTCTCATTTTACCAGAGGAAAACCTGGGCTCAAAGAGGGTAATGGAGTTGCCTAGGAGGTCAGCCCGAGTTGGCGGTAGACCTTGAACTAGAGTCTCCATGGTAGGCTGAAGAATGCACACATCCCACCCCACCCACCAAGATAGCCATGTCCTAGTCTCTGTAACCTGTAAATGTTACCTTTTCTGGAAAAATGGTCTTTGCTGACATCAAATTCCCAAGAATTTGAGAATTAGGAAGTTATTTTAGATTGTCTGGGCAGGCCTTATATGCTATCCCAGGATCCTTGAAAAATAGATGCAGTTAGAGATTACAGAAGCAGAGAGTGGAGTGAAGCAGCCACAGTCAAGGAATGCCCACAGCCACCAGAAGCTGGAAGATGCAAGGAAGGGTTTCTCCCCTTGAGCTGGTCCTGCCAACATCACTGGGCCAAGTGGTGGTAATTTCAGATTTCTAAGATGGTAAGAGAATAAGCCGCCAAGTTTCTGGGAATTTGTTACAGCAGCCACAGGAAACTAATTCATTCTCTGCCTCCTGGTTTCTCCTTCACTATACTAGCTTTTTCTTAATGTTTTCTTTAATTACCCACTTCCATGGTTCTCTGCACAAATGAGATCAGGGTGGGTTTTAGATTTGCCTTTGTGTTTCCTGATCTGAGGATCCTATGCCTGAACATTCCTTTCAGCAACCCCCTCCGTATCATGTTAGGGGCCTGGGTTCCTGCAGTAATACCATGAGCTGAATTGGGGATGTATGTTGTGTGGCTGCTGAAAGACTGAAGGTTGTCAGGTGTTGGGAAAAGAAGGGCTTGTGGGAGACCTGAGTTCTTGTCTGAGTTCTACTTCCAATTTGCTGTGTAACCATGGACAAGGACATTCACAGTTCTGGACCACAGCTTTCCACAAACACAAGGCAAAGAGGTTGATCAGATCAATTTTCCCAAAAGGGTAGCTCGAATAACACTAGTGATATCTGAGATGATTTCAGGCAGTAAAATGGTGAGTCATTGAATAGCACTGATTTGCGGAGTCAGCATTCCTTTTTCAATTCTGAGTCAGTTCTTCTTCAAGGAAAAAGTCTTAGGTTAATGCTAACATCTCCTCAACCACATTTTAAAATGTGCTGATCTCCTCTTTTATCGAAATTTGAGGAGACCTCAGGCTGAAAGCCTTTAGCAGGTGATGACTGTCAAATTCAACAGAACTATTGTGATGATGTTTGTACTTTACAGTTACCTTCTATTTTTGGCAAAGTATACTTGTTTTTCATTTCTGATAGTGTATCAGTCAGGATAAGCTAGGTTATAACCTGGTGACAAACAATCTAACTATCTCAATGGCTTAATACAACAAAGTTTTTTTCTTGCTCATACGAAGTCTGTTGTGGGGCCACATAACCCTATAGGCCTTAGAAAACCCAGGCCATTGCTTTCACCAGAATCCTCTGTCCCAAACACAGATTGCTACCCCTTCCCACCCAGAGTTCCTGATTCAGTAGCTCTTGGGTGGGGTCAGAGAATTTGCATCTGTAACAAGTTTCCAGGTAATGCTGATGCTGCTGATTTGGGAATCACACTTTGAAAAACCACAGCTCTACAGTAACTGCTCTCAGCTGGTGACTTAGCAATTCAGGGTCAAGGTGAATCCAGCATCTCCACCTGGAACACGCAGTCTCCTTGTCAGAAGCAGCAGCACTGGAAAGATCCCCAGTAGTAATTAATTGCTCTGGCTGGCTGGGAAGTGACACACATCTCTCCTTCCCAGCCAGAATCATCATGAGGTGCCACTTAACTCTAGACAGAGTTCATGGAGGAGGCAGGAGGTACAGGAAATTATCCTCCCAAATGCCTAGAGAGACAAGAGGACTAAAGAGGGTGAGCCGCTGGGAAGGAATCTAATCTAAAACTAGGCATTTTAATCACAGATAATGATTAAAATTTCCTTTAAAGAAAAAAGTTCTTAAAGCAAAATGTCATTTAAAGAAAAAATTAAGATAAAGAATGGTAGAGAGGGTACATGCTCACTGCAAAAATCATAAAGGGGGTGTGAAAATGGGCAGCCGGAAAGGTCTGTCTTACTGTCCTCCTATTACACTGTCAGAGTCGGTGACATAGGCTGTAGAAATCACCCTGCAGAGATCTTCAGACCACGCACTGCTGCCAGGAATTGCTGCCTGAGCTTTCCAGGAGGTCCAGCCTGGAGGGATGCTGACCTCATAGCTCCTCCCTTTTTGTGCTTAGAACCTTCCATTCTCGGTTTCTCTTCTTATACCCCACCCTCTAGTGTCTATCTCAAGATGTTGGGTGGGGGGAGGGAAGCAACAAAAAGGATGATTGAATACTGTTGTCCCTAGGTGATGACCTTTTGCTTGTCACCACCAGCCTTCACACCTGGCTGATTCCTTTTCCCTAAGTATCTCATGGCTCCTGAAAATATGAAATGAGACCATGCTTTGGACAGAAGAGGCTCATGTGTTTTGGAATACAGCCAGAATGTGGATCAGCTGTGGGATAAGGTTGGGTGAAAGAGAGAGAGCGCATGTGTGCGTGTGCATGTGCGTGTGCGTGCGTGTGCATGTGTGTGTGTGTTTGAGACAGAGAGAGCGAGAGCGAGAGCGAGAGCGAGAGAGAGAGAGAGAGAGAGAGAGAGAGAGAGAGAACCCTGACTCTTGCTCTTGGTGCTTCATGTTTCTTTCCATTTCTCATATTTTTAAAAATAACTAGCCACTTTGGACAACATCAAACAGCATGAACAAGGCAGCTTTGCAACAGTAAAAGGTGTTAGGCTCAAAGCCTGCCAGTCTGCTACAGACTCCGGGCCTGGAGAGAGGTCTCGAGTAGCAGAAGCCATTTTGTTTGGGTGGAGGTAGGCATGGGCTGAGATTCTGGCTGTGTGCCCCATTATATTTTAGGAAATATTGCTTGTCATTTATTTCTCTGCTCTTTCCCATGCTTCAAAAGGAACCATTTATTAGTAAAGAGTACAGGCTCAAAGGATGTCATAGGTACAAAAGCCGTAGAAATCAACTTCAACCCCAATTCCTTCATTTGACAAACAGGTGCATGGTGTATTGGCTTTCTATCACTGTTGCAACATATTACTATAAACTAATGGCTTGAAGCAACACAAATTTATTATCTTGTACCTCTGTATGTCAGAAGTCCAATATGGGTCTCATTGGACTAAAATCAAGATGCTAGCAGGGCTGCCTTTCTTTCTAGAGGCTGCCTGCATTCCTTGGCTCATGGCCCCTTTTTCCATTTTCAAAGTGAACAATGCAGGATGAGTCTGTCTCATATCACATCACTGTGATGTCCTCTTCTGCTGCCCTCCTCTGGTTTTAAGGACCCTTTTGATTAAGGTGGACCTACCGGGATAAACTAGGATACTCTATCTTAAAGTCAGCTGACTAGCAGCCCTAATCCATCTACAAACTAAATTCTGCTTTGGCATGTATATCATAGCATATTTATAGGCTCCAGAGATCAGGGTGTGAATATCTTTGGAGGCCATTATTTTATCTTCCACACATGGCATCCCAGAGAGTGTCAATGACTCACTTGAGGCAGAGCTAGGAATATATGTCATGCTCAGCATTCCTCCCACTCTACAATATTGTTTTTATTATATAAGGCATAGAGCGGAGTGGTTAAAAGCACAGCCTTGGGGTCAGATAAACAGGGATCTGGGCTCAAGATCTAGCTCACCCTTACTAGTTGTGAGAACTTGGGATAATTACTTAAACTCTTGGCACCTCAGTTTTCTCATCTGTTAAGCAGGAAAAATGGTATCAGCAGCATAAGGTGAAAGATCAAGTATGAAAAAAGTACTTAGCAATGTTTTCAGGGCACAGCACCAGTCAATGATATCACTTAGCATGATCTATAATGATACATCATGCTTGGTTTTCCTAAGACCCCTTGTGACAGCATGTAAGTTATTGTAGCCATTTGACAGATGTGGAAACTGAAGCTGAGAATGTTAAAATGATGGGAGCACGGTCGTTTAGCCAGTTGGTATTGGTGAATCAGGTCAGGAACAAGGTCTATGGCCCTTCAAACCATGACACACTGCCACTTTGTTTAACTTCTGGTATATGATCCAAGAAAGATGTTTGTCTTTTATAGAGGAAAGGACCCTTTTATCTTTTCAGAAATGTCTTGTAGTCCTCACACTCAAAATGTTCAGCTGCATTCCTAATGCAAAATACTCCAAGGTTAAGTTCATTGGCTTCTCCCTTGTATAAACATGTTCTGGCTTACTGTGAAGGCAATATTCTTTCATGCAGTTTAAAGCAGTTTTTAAGTCACTCTGTCCCTGGTCTCGTGCCCATGGCTCCTGCCCGTTGTTCCTGATGAGCTTGAGTGAAGCCCTTCATAGAATTATATAGACCTAATTCTTATTGATGAGAATATATCTTTTAGATAGGGCAATATGAATTTATTCAACCATTTATGTATGCAATAGCAGTTACTGACATTCTTGAGTACTGAGAAATTGATGCATTAAGACATGGTAAGCATTTGGACTGCGAGTGTTAGGTTATTTCAGAGGCCCTGAAAAATGACATGTCTCTTCCCTGGCCAAGTTCAGAACAAATTGAGTGTCAGGTAAGATAGTGAAGTCAGATCAACAAAGATCAAAATGTCATCATTCTTGCTGATTCAACCTAGATTGGGGGATGTTGCTTAGCTGTTGGGCTGAATGGGCTTGGAAATGTTCCCCATCCAGTCCTGGAAAGCAAGTTCACCAATGTCTTCCTGGAGGGGACAGCGTTGGCCCCAATAAGCTTTCTGCATGGCTCTCAGCACAGACCAAATGGTGGTCTCATTTCTTTTGGGAGGCCATCCTGAGAGAAGAGAGGGTATCCGGAACCTCAAATCTCTTCTTCTAAACTGATTAGTTGGATAACTCCCTCTTCCTCCTGTGAGGAGGGCTATTGGAAGAGATGTGACAAATGTTTTCTAGATGAAATTCTTCCACTTAGAGATATGGGTAATGAGGAAGACAAATTCTCACCTAAAAGTGGGAAAGGAGTAGAAGAATATTCTGTATAACTGGTTATAGCCAGTTTCCTGGAAATTATTCCCAGTCCATGGCCTAGGTAACCACTATATACTGAAGAATGTTAGAATCTAGGCAAACCACATCTGGAGTGCCTGTGTTGCAAAGGAATAATAAGTGAACATTGTTAGTGACAAAACACATCCCAACCCCTGGGTTGGCATCCAAGGCTGGTGCACGGAAGTGGATATGAAGATGGGGCTTGGGTGAAAAATGTTTATACAAATCAATACCTGTGAATGGATTGGGGAGGACACAGAACTGGACAGATGAAGAAGTTGAAGCAGGCCCGACAAACCCCCAGACAACCCAGTGAGGAGTGAGTATTGTCCTTCAGTGTCACCCACAGAGGGGCAAAATGGCCATGTCCTCAGGGCACTGCCTCCCTCAGTGGCTGTAGGGGACTCAGGCCAGGCCAGGAACTCCCTGCAGCAGACACAGACCCTGAAGGAGACGCAGCAGGGCAGCAGGATCCTGGTGGCTTCCTCCAGTGCCCAGCCCTGACTGTGTCTGCTGCCTCATCCTCTGCCTCTTCCTACCTTTTCCTTGACATTTTAGTCATGCCCAGTTGCCTGCAGTTCCCAGGAAATTACATGCCTTTTCATGCCTCTCGTTGTTGTCTAGGATATCCTTTCTGCTAACTCATTCCTATTTTTCATGACTCAGTGCAGACATCATTTCTTCTAGGAAGGTTTCCCTAAATCCCAGGCTGGGCTGAGTACCACCCTGCTGCGTACACACAGCATTCTCTCAGCACTTACCAAGTGATATTACATTTTTTTGTGAACAGACTTGTCTCCACCAGGTCTCAGTTTTTTTTTACAGGATTGTATCTTGCTCACCTTTGTACCTAGGTGCCTAATAAGGTCCTGGTATGTGACAGGTGTTCAACAGATGCTGGTCTTCTCATCTCTCCTTTTAGGGCCATGTCCTTATTCAGCAAACATATTGATCACTTTTATGCAGGGGCTACAGGAACTTACGAGCAGTGGGCCTAGTGTTTTTGTAGCCATCACAGCGCCCAGAACAGAATCTGGTACGTTATCGTTTCTCAGGAAGTATTCTTTTTAAAATCGGAGCCAATCTTCCCATGCCAAAATTGCTTCAACACAGGATCTAGAGGCGGTAGGAGACTTGCATAGGTATTGTCAGGCACGGGGCAAGCAAGGTCTTGGGAAAGTATTTGAAATAATTTCCTAGGAAATAAAATTGCTAAGGTCAATGCCTTCTGATTTGCTTTTATCTCTCCCATAGGGGAATCACTCAGGGCTCTATCAAGATAAATGAACCCTGGACTGTTGGAGCTGTAAAAACTTTAAGGGTGATGAGGTGGGGACAGACAGGGAGGAAGAATAACAAAGGGGCTGGAGAAAGTTGGGTACAGTCTCTCTGCTTAAACTCATTTCTGTGGGGATAGGAACTATCCTACTTCCCCCGAGTGCCCAGAAAGAATCATAGAGGTAACAAAGTGTCAACCTGCTCACCCTATATCAGCAAGGAAATTTGGAAATAAATGCCCCTTGGTCCAGTGGCTGGGCCACAAAGGCTGTACAGAGGTGAGATTTGGTATGCAAAAGAGAATCAGGGGTTTCAAACCAGCCAAAGGGGAAGAGGAAAGGCCCCTGCAATTGTTCAAAGGAGAAGAGGAAGACCAGTGGCAATATAATCTTTCATCAGCCACTCCCTGTGGGGAGTAAGCATTCATGCAGCCTTCTTCTTTCTCTTAGCAGGGCAGCACAGAGACTGGAATTGCCTGGGGTCAAATCAAAGCCACAGTCATTTACTTGGCATTGGTTGTCTTCTCTGTCCATCCAGTATCTGCGGGAACTTCTTAGATTTCACTGCAGAGGTTTACTGGGTTTGTAAGGCATCTTAGCTTCTGTGCTGTGAGCTGAGGGTATACATCTGATGTTTTTTGATTTGTGTTGCTATAAAAGAATACCTGAGGTCAGATAATTTGTAAAGAGAAGAGGTCTATTTGGCTTAAGGTTCTATAGATTTTACAAGAAACAGGGCATCAGCATCTGCTCCTGGTGAGGCCTCAGGAAGCTTCCAATCATAGAAGAAAATGAAGGGAAGCCAGGATGTCACGTGATAAGAGATGGAAGAAGAGAGAGAGAAGGGAGAGGTGTCATGCTCTTTTAAACAACCAGCTCTTACCTGAACTATAGAGTGAGAACTCACTCATTACCTCAGGACAGCCAAAGTCCTTCATGAGGAATCTGCTCCCTTGACCCAGACACCTCTCACCCTCTCATGAGGCCCCACCTCCAACTCCGAGGATCAAAATGCAAACAGAGGTTTGGAGAGGTCAAATATCTAAATGATAGCATGTGATTATGGGCCAGTTTCTGTCCCCAGGAGGCGAGTGGACAGTTGGAGAGACATATGTGATGATAATAGTGTCAGCAATAATCACCATATTATTGAGAACTTACTATGGACTAGTTGTGATCTCATTATGTGATCTCATCTCTCTAATGACACTACAAGATGATGTTGATAATATTCCCATTTCACCTATGAGGCTCAAAGAGCTTAGTTACCTGTTAAAAGTCACCATGGCAAGTAAATAAATGAGAGGAGACTGAAACCCAAATCTATGCAACTGTAAAAACAATACTTTATGCCAGAGCTTCCCAACTGGGGGTGATTGGCCCTCTCATGCTCTCCCAGGGACATTAACAATGTCTTGGAGACATTTTGGGTTGTCACAATGAGGGATGGGAATGGCTACAGGCATTTGGTGGGCAGATGCCAGGGATGCTGCTAAATGTCATGCAATGCACAAGACAGCCCCTCTCTACTCCAATGAGTAAGTATTAGGCAAAACGTGGACCGTCTCTGGGCCGTCTCTAAGTCAATGCAGCTCTAAGCCATCTCTGTGCAGCATATTGAAAAAGGTATCTCTAAGTATAACAATACTTTTGTTATTGCTTAGCCTAGCTCCTGAATGTTTTATTCATAGTATTCATCACAACTTACTGTTTTTGTTGGTTTGCTTGTGATTTCAGTTGTTAGGTATCTCCTCCACTCTGAGCTGTTTGTGGGCAAAGCCTATCCCGCCTTGTTCACCACTTCACATCTAATAATTAGCATAGCACCTGGAATGTAGTAGAGGCTCAATGAATATTTGTTGAGTCAGAAAATAGGTAAATGGACATAGTGAAATTAAATAACCTGTGCAAGGTCACAAGAACAAAGTGGCAAAGGCAGTATTTAAAGCTAGGTCTTTCTGAATCCAAATGCTCCGAGTTAAGGCAACTCAGGGTAATTAGAGGATTCTAAACATGTCCTTGTCTGTGTCCCTGAGAGCTCAGAGTTCAGCAGAGGAGGAGAAAAGTCTCTGGGTCTCAGGGCGTGATGCCAAATTCAGACTGGGAAAGAAACAAGGGACAGAAGAAGGATGAGAAGAACCTCAGGGCTCAGCTGAGTCCTCATGGTTGTAGATTGAGAGAGGACTTAGTGGAGTGCTGCCCAGATATTAAAAGAACTGTTTAAAATGACCAGAATCAATCTTGCTCACTTTTAAGCAAAGATGGGCAATATAACGCTTATCTTCTCTAAGTCCTCAGAGACTTTAGGCCTCTTAGAGTTCCCAAAAATAATGTCTAGTAGCTCTACAAATGCAATTTAAGTCCTAGAAGTACCCTAAAGTCAAGTACTGGGTTGGCTCACAGATCCTGGCCCTGGCAGCAGCTGGGCCTGAGTCTGTTCCTGCAGGGGAGCCACTGTGGGAACCAACTCCATATGGGCTCAAGGCTGGGGAGGCTGTCAGGGTAAGGAGAAGTAGGGACTGAGGTGCATGAAGGCAAGGGCAGAGAGAGAGGGGAGACAGAAGGAGGAAAGTGTGAAAGGCAAGGCGGAAGTAAGGGTTAATGGTAGAACAGGGAGAAAGGAAGCAAGGGAGGAAATGAGGGGAGGAGAAAGAGAGAGGCAGGGAAAGAGAGAAGGAAAGAGAGAGAAAGGAAGAGCAGGAGGGAAGGAGGAAGGAAGGAAGAGAAGAAAGGAGGGAGTTAGATGGGAAAAGAAGGATAAAAAGGGAGGAAGGAAAGCAAGTGGGGAGGAAGGGAGAGAAAGAGAGGGAGGGAAAGAGAATAATAGGGAGGGAGGAAAGAAAGAGAAGAAGGGAAAGAGAAGAGGAAGAAAGAAGGGAGGAAGGAGGGTAGGAGAAAGAGAAGGAGGGAGGGAGCAAGGAAAAAGAAGGGGAAGAGACAAGAAGGGAAGAAGGAAAGAAGGGAGGGAGGAGGAAGGAAGGAAATACTGGTAATAGTAACAATACTTCTAAGCATTTATAATTGCCTCAAATTGTGTGAAGTCCTTAAAATGAATAACAACCTTTACTGCTGAAAACAACGCTATGGGAGTAGATTGTTTCATCATGTCCTTTTTATGGATTGAAATAATCCCAAATACAAACAGAGAGATGGAAGAAATAACTTCTCATGTTCAATAGCAGAGTAGGGTAACTATAGTTAGCAACAATGTATCGTATATTTCAAAATAGCTAGAAAGGATTTGAAATATTCATCACATAGAGAAACAAGAAATACTCGAGGTTATGGATGTTCTAAATACCTTGACTTGATCATTCCCATTATATGCGTGTAACAAAATATTATATGTACCCCGAAATATTATAGGTACCCCAAACATTTTGTATCCATAGAAATTTTAAAAAACAAGGCACAGAGACCTTAAGCAATGTGACTAAGGACACACAGGCAATAAGTGGTGGATTCAGATGTGAAAGAAGTGTGGTCTGGGAAACAGCTGCTGGGGTGGGGATGGGGGAGGGGACAGTGGGAAGGACGGAGCCAGGCTCTATCATGGGGTCTATGGGAATAAACTCAAAACTCCTAGGTGTCTGGAGGCTGGACTCTAGCTCAGAATGTCTGTGTTTAACAGGAGAGAGCCCAGCCTGCTTATTTCACATCTTAGGGCAGCCCAAAGAGGCTCTTTGTTTGAATGGGTTTTGCTGACAGATTGTACTAGACATTCCTTGGTGACACTATGAGCCCCAAAAGAATTGTAACGCCATTGTTAGATATTTATCCTTTCTTCTTGAAAGGAAACAAACAGGAGCGATGAAAATAATCCCTTTGCTATCATTTCATTATGAATGAGGACAAGGAAAACGGGAACAAAGAAAGGAAGTTATTAAAATAAATACAAATGGCTTCTATATGGTATAACATCTACAGGTTCCCACCCATTATGTCATAGGATAGTCCCGTTTTGTGGTGGGTGCCAGATCCGCCCTCCCCAGTTTTATCAAAGAAGAAACTGGTTCAGAGAGGGGAAGTTCAATTAGTAAGAAGCTGGCATTCAAACTCAGGTCTTCTTATTAAAATTGTTAGTTCTTTCCTGTGTACCATGTTCAAGTCATGCTCAGTTTCCTTTAAATGAAATCGACTTTTTTTTTTTTCAAATTAACTTCCTAGAATGAAAGTTCTGTGAAATAAGATTCTGGTCTATTAATCATAGGAGAAGAAGAAGATTAATTCTAGGATGTTTAAGGTTTGCTTATGACAAATGTTCCTTCAATAATTATTTATATAAGAGCTTATTTTTAAAGAAGTTGGTGCCCAAAAAAGTAGATGTGTCCTCTTAGGAGCAAATTAATGGAAACAAACAATGGTGTTCTTGGAAATCTCTTGGATAAATAACTTGTACATGCTGTTCCCTGTAGCCCCACCTCACCTGAGGATACACCCTTATTCCTCTCTTGAATCCAGCTATGCCGAAGTCTTGACGTTTCATCCCCCATTCCATCTTCCTAATCCTTGGCACCTGTGGATCTTCCCTTCCACGTCATTCCCAGGGTCCTTTCCACCTCTGCCCCTTAGAAAGCAAGTTCCACAGGGTTGGGGCTTGGTTTTTCTTGACTATGGCTGCATCCTTAGCATACTGCGTGGCTCACAGTCGATGCACAATGTCGGTGGGATGAATGACTGCATGGGTCACCAGCCACAAAACGTAGCCTGGCATCATTATTATGAGTTCTCCAGACTCAGCTTATATTCTAGCCTCAATCCTGGCACACAGAATAAGAGCTCTGTAAATGTTTGCCAAATATATCAAGGAGTGACAGAAATATTGTTTTATTATACATGCTTTCAGTAGAAACAGAATTTGTCCATCTTGTGAAGTAACATGATATTTTGTACTGTGTCCATGAATATGATGGAGCGGGGTGGTGAGTGGTGGGGGCAATTTACAATTTCCACACATTTGCATGTTTTCATGGTGCCTCTAAAGGTCACAAGTGCCTAATGCTTCTGGCTGGCAGACACCTTAATCAAGTGGCAGCAGTAATAACAGTGACACCTAACAGTTACTGAGCACTTATGTTAGGTCAGGCACTGTGCCAAGGGCTTTATCTATATTAACTCATTTTATTTTTCTTTGAATTGGAATTAGTTATTATCCTCTTTCAACAGGTGAGGAATAAGGTACAAAGAGCTCATGTAAATGGAACACTATAAAGTGTTATGGATGTGCATGGGAGCTTCCAGGCTGCCCTGGGGATGAGGGGAAGAGGTGAGACCATGAGAAGTTGAGAAAAGTCATCAGGCACGAGTCTGTCCCCGCCTCCTACAGTTGTGGCAGATGGAATTTGGTTAATTATTTTATATCACTATATATTGAGTTTCTGCCAAAGATTTATTAGAGGGAAAGAGTTTTGTCTAGCCAGAATAAAAGGCTTTTACATTTCTAAAACTGATACTTCAGTTCTACAGCTAGGAAGACTAAAGGCTGAGGAATGTTAAATATCTTGGCAATTGTCATCGATGGCAAAGCCAGGTCTCAAAAAATCTCAGCCTCCAATGGTCCAGGCATCTGTTTCTTTAGCCTCTATTGCTTAGATGCCCAGTTGTCTCTGTAATGGCACTTGAATTTAACATACCTGTTGACCAAAAGACTTCTTTTTCCAGAACTTTTGCTTGCAAAGGTATGTCCTGAGTAACATTAAGTAAAATAAGGCAAATTATAAGGTAAATGTGGAAGTATCTGCCTTGTAGCATTGTTAGAGAGAGGAAAACAAGACGGGAAAGGCAAGGGTTAGACAAGGCAAGAAGTGGAAAGAATGCCCAGGGAATTTGAACAAGGCTAGGTTAGGTGGAGGGTATGGCTTCTAGGTCTGGTATACAACGGACAATAGCAGTAACATGACTTTCTGAACGCCTAACCTGTAGCATGCACAGTAAGCTACATGCTTCACATGCATCGTCACTTTTAATATTGAGGGCAGTGAATTCTATTTCTTGGAAGAGAAAACAGAAACTCACACAGCTAGTAAGTGGCAGAGAGAAACTCAGCCAAGGCCTGTCTGGCATCAAAGTACATTCTCTGAACCCCCAGCTACATTGCTACTTTAAATCTTTTTAGGCCACAGGGCCTAAAAGACTGTCTTGCACCTGGAAGCAAATTTTGGGACTGTCTCATTTAAAGTTAGGGTCCCTGACCCAAACTCAGGGACATGTAGAAGTCTTGAATTAGATCTACCTTTAGGGCCAGTTTAGGGTGATTCAATCACCGGCACCCCAGATGCCTGAGACTTTTTGACCTGGGGACCAAACTTTTCATTTTCCAATAAGAGATAAAATTTAGAAACTCCAGGTGGTCTTCTGAGTATCCCTTTAGTCAGTGAACAAGTTGGAAATAATGGCCAAAAGAACCCGTGCATTTGTATGGCCCTTTAAGGTTTTAAATATGTTTCCCCTGCGTATTTTTTCAATGTCATTCGAGGCCAACTATCACCCCTATGCAACAGAGCTGAGAATATGGATCACAAGGTAGGAAATATTTATGGAGAGTTACACACATCTTAGCAAGGGCTGACCTAGAACTCAGTCCCTGGCCTTCTCAGGACATTTCCTCGTTGTAAGGCACTAGAAAACAGAAAGGAATTGAAGTTCAAAGGGTGGGAGAGAAGCCTCCATTGAGGAGCCCTGTACAGCAAGAAAATTCTGACAACTGATTGTTCAGAAGGCACAGTGCTGGCTGGCCCTGTTTCTCTTAAGCTGGGTAGGGGCCCGGAGGAACAGTGCCCAGAGGTATTTTTGTCTTGTTGCTTCAACCCAGGCAGCTCCACTTGGAA